GTATCAAGTTAATCATACTAATAAGTGCATCGTTAGTGCTTTTAATGGGTCTGAAACCATATTGGCAAGAGCTAAGTATATTGTCTTTGGCTAGAAAAGAGTAAAGCTGCTTGTAGATTAGTTTTTCAAATATTTTTCACGTCTGGCAGAATTGATATAGGTCTGAAGTTGTTCACATAAGTGGGATCACCACATTTGTGGACAGGGGTTACTCTCGCTTCCTCATACCCGTAATCACTAGCCCTACTAGAATCCCTGACAGTACTGCCTCTGCTCTTGATAACATCTGGACCAACATAACCTCTCCACTTACTTCAGGGATAATCATCGATAGCACTACAGACCATTACTCCACATTTCTCCTAACCAACATTAACAAACCACCTCTAGAGACAAGGGAGATAAGTTTTAGGCTGCACAATGAAACTGCAATAGGCAATTTTATAGCTGCTGCTGCTAATGTCAACTGGGACTCCGAATTAGGTAACATAGGGGACATCAACCTAGCAGTGCAATCTTTTCTTCAAAAAACTCTCAGCCTTTATAACACCCACTGTCCTATGCTAACGAAACAAGTCACAACTAAAAGGCTAAACAATCCTTGGCTTACAAAGGGAATACTTAAATCCATTAATAAAAAACATGACCTTGAGAAGAAGTATAGGTTAGGAATCGTCTCCAAAGAATTCTCAAAGATTACTCGTCATTGCTATCTAAAATAATTAGAAGAGCCAAAATTAAATACTACGAAGATAAATTTACCCACACAAAGGGCAACATTAAGAAAACATGGAGCACAATTTCTCAAATATTGGGATCAAAGGAGATTATAAATTACAAACCAACACTCCTGTCAAATAATGATGGTCTGCTTTCAGCCTCTGACACTGCTCTTGAGTTCAATAGGTTTCTTCTCTTCCATTGGGTCATCCCTTGCAAATGATATTCCATCTTCCAGTACTAATATTCAGGACTCTCTTACAGGTAACTATCCACAGTCTCTGTACCTAATGCCTACTAATTCCACTGATGTTACTGACATAATCCTTTCCCATAAAACCAAGTCTAGTGCCCTTGAGGAGATACCAACTCTTATTTACAAAAAAAAACTCCAGATTTTTAGCTCCTGCCATTGCATTGCTCTTCAACACGTCACTTGAACTCCAAACCTTTCCAGATATTCTAAAAAAAAGCGAGAGTAACCCCTATCCACAAATGTGGTGATCCCACTGATGTTAACAACTTCAGACCTATATCAATTCTGCCAAACTTGTGAAAAATATTTGAAAAACTAATCTACAAGCAGCTTTACTCTTAACTAGCCAAACTCAATATACTTAGCTCTTTTCAATATGGCTTCAGTCCCCCAAAAACACTAACGATGCACTTATTATTATGATTAACTTGATACATACAGCTCTTGATAAAAATGAGTTCCCTGTTGGGTTATTTGTAGACCTGCGTAAGGCTTTTGACACTGTCAACCACCAAAACCTTCTTCTTAAATTACAACATTATGGAGTCAGAGGACACTCTCTGCAATACATTAAGTCTTACCTTACTGACAGGCTCCAGTATGTTTCTGTGAATAATTCAATTTCTCCCACTCTACCCATCAACATTGGTGTTCCCCAGGGCAGCATACTTGGCCCTCTCCTCTTTCTCATCTACATTAATGACCTCCCAAATGCCTCCCAACATCTCAAACCAATTATATTTGCTGACGACACGACCTTCATTTACTCCAGTCCTGACCCCCTTGCTCTAAATGTCACAGTGAATACTGAGCTAAATAAAGTCCATCACTGGCTAACTGCCAACAAACTCACCCTCAATATTGACAAAACTTTCTATATTTTGTTTGGCCTCAATCCTCAAATCAAATAAATCTCAGGATTAACAATACCCAAATTTGTAACAAAGTAGATGGCAAATTCCTTGGCGTTCTCATTGCTGCAAGCTGAATTTCCAGGGACACATTCTAAATATATCAAAAAAAGTTTCAAAAACTGTTGGCATTCTTTCTAAGATCAGATATTATGTACCTCGCCCTGCCCTGGTGACTCTCTATTACTCCCTTATCTATCCATATCTCAACTATGATATTTGTGCTTGGGGCTCTACTACCCAAAATCATTTACGTCCTCTAATTACTCAACACAAAGCTGCTATTAGGACAATATCTAACTCTGGCTCCAGACATCACTCGGCACCCTTACTCAAATCTCTGAATATGTTAGATATTAAGTCCCTGCACATCCTCTCATGTGTATTTTATATATATAAAACGCTGAACTGCAATGCCAATCCTGACCTTAAAAGCTTCCTAGAAGGTTGGAACAGATCCCATGAGCACCACACCAGAAGCAAATATCTATTTGATATTCCAAGAGTACGACTTAGTCAAACTAGAAATGCTTTACAAATCAATTGAGGGACCTCGAATGTGGAATGACCTTCCCAATTATGTTAAAGACTGTACCTCTCCCAACCAGTTTAAGATAATAACTATGTACTACCTAATTAACTCAATGTAACCTACCTCACCCCCAAAATGTCAACCCATGTCTTCTATTTTAAACAATGCTGTTTTGTTGACCAAATTGTATTTTTGTTTTTTTTCTGCCATGTTTCCCCCCCCCCCTTTTTTCCATTTTTTCTTATTTTTTCTCAACACAATTTATACTTTAATCTCAATTAGAATTAAGTTTTAGTCTTATAGTGTTTTTCCTGCCCGAAACGCTTTGTGTAATAGTGGCTTTAGGCATTGTATGTACTAGCTCTATCTATAAATCCATCAAGCAGTTTTGTATCCGTTGGTACCTTGTATGTATGTACTTTACCTGAATAAACAGAATATTTACTTCTTTAGTATTTGTGATTTCACTAGTCTATCTCTAGCCCTTAATTTGGGTAAATTTATTATCGTAGTATTTTATTTTGGCTCTTCAAATTATTTTAGACAGCATGGATGAATAAATCTTTGAAAATTCTTTGGCGACGACTCCTAATCTATACTTCTTTTCAAGGTCATATTTTTTATTTACAGATTTAAGTATACCGTTTGTAAGCCATGGAGTGTTTAACCTTTTATTTGTAACTTGTTTCGTTAGCATTGGACAGTGGGAGTTATAAAGGTTCAGAGTTTTCTGAAGAAATGTTTGCACTGCTAGGTTGATGTTCACTATGTCACCTAATTCAGCCTCCCAGTTGATATTAGCAGCAGCAGCAGCAGCAGCAGCAGCAGCAGCAGCAGCAGCAGCAGCAGCAGCAATAAAGTCGCTTATAGAAGTTTTATTGTGCAGCTTAAAGCTTATCTTCCTTGTATCTAGAGGTGGTTTACTAATGTTGGTTAGGAGAAATGAGGGGTAATGGTTCGTGGTCCTATCAATGATTATCCCTGAAGTAAGTGGGGAGGTTATGTTAGTCCAGATGTGGTCAAGAGAAGAGGCAGTACTATCAGTGATTCTAGTAGGTCTAGTGATTAAGAGTATGAGGAAGAAGAAATTCATACAGTTGAGGAAACTAGCAGCAGGAGGGTCCTCAGGCTCGCAGAGGTCAACATTAAAGTCCCCTGCGATAATTAGATGGTTTTTGTTCAGTCTGTTATGTAGTATTAGATTTCTAAGGTAAGAGTTGAATTCGGACACATCAGTGTTAGGAATTCTATAGACTGCTCCCACAGTCAGGAGAGACTCAGCACCCTTGACTCTGAAACTGGTGAAGATATACTCCCCACAGGAGTCTCTAGTTTTAATTACTTTTAAGCATGTCAGTTCTTGGTGGTAGTAAAGAGCAGTACCACCACCTCTCTGAATTGGTCGACAGTTGTGAATTGCTGAGTAGTTTGGCATGTTAAAGAGTTGAGTAGTATCCTCTTTTAACCACGTTTCCGTAAGTATGACAAAAGAGAATTTGTTGTCAACAGTTTGAATCAAGGCACTAACATCATCAAAGTGTTTGCTTAGAAATCTTACATTCAAGTTAATTACAGAGACATTGTGATTATGTGTTAATACATTGTTTACATCATGTGCTGTATAATATCTGCAATTTTGATCATTAGAGTGATGATTGTCATAGATAGTGGATAAGAGGTTTAGTTCTGGGTCTATACTTGTTTGCATAAGAGGGCTGGTAATAATAATAATTAAGATTATAAAATAATTATCGTAAACAGAGAAGAAAAAAGAGAAAAACGGCAAATCTATATATAATAGAAACAAATAATATGAGAGGAAGATCACTGAAATGAGACAATAATAGCAAATAACAATCAAATTATAAAACAATAGCTTATTTTAATAATATAATTGTACTGTAGTTAATTACTAAAGTTACACTAAAACAAAAATGAGGTAGATTACTTAAGAGATACACTCAGGTACACTAAGGGATAAACTTAAAAATTAAAACGCTTTGCGTAATAGTGGCTTTAGGCATTGTATGTACTAGCTCTTATCTATAAAGCCAACAAACTTTGTAAAATCTCTTTATGTATGTACCTTTGCCTAAATAAAAATTATTATTATTATTATTATAAAAGGAAATATAACAGAGAAACTATAAGACTGAAATTGCTTAATTAATTAATAAACTATAATACTATAAAAAATTCTTAATTATGATCCTATAGTTAATATGACTATAAAAAATTAACTCAATTAATTAATTCCAATAAATGACTAATATGAATCAGATTACAATTAAATTTAATGATAACAGGGTAAGATTATGCACGAGTAAGATTTTACAATGATACTGAGGTAGATGCTTACATGAGTACATGGAGACTTTGGGCATTGTATGTACTAGCTTTATCTATAAATCCATCAATGTTTGTATCTCACCTTGTATGTATGTACTTTACCTGAATAAACATTTGATTTGATTTTGATATGACTTGTAACCATATCTAAGCCGAGCAGTAGTAACATTTAGAAAGTCTGATGATCAGAGAAAACGGGAATGCTGATACGGCGGTTTAAGCGAGCGATAACAGCTGATGCCGGTCTGGAATCATAACAACATCCGCTGCCGCACAGATTACGCGTCTCTTCGCTACTGAGTTAACAACAACAGGTTACACGTTCTTCATCATACAATACCACTTACACTGGCTACACCTTGTGTCTATTATACAACACCACATACACTGGCGGTGTATGTGTTCACCTTGTGTCTATCATACAACACCAGTTACATTGATTACGAATTGTCTACCAGTTACATTGATTACGAATTGTGTCTACCAGTTACAGTGATTTCGAATTGTGTCTAGCATACAGAACTACCTATAGTTACATTGCTGCACCACTCGTGCAGTCATTACAAGAAACCTGGGCACAAATTGCGTCTACCACAGAGTAGCTTCCCTGCTGTCATCTCAAGCAGCGACCTCAACTTGCAACAAGTCTCACACTTCACAACATCGGTTGTTAACTAGGACGCATTGTACTTGCAGGTTGGTATTGCATTTAATAATTGCACTGGTATTGCATTTAATATATTATATCCTACCAATAATATAAGCCCAATATTATTATAGGGCTTATATCAAAGTCCCCCCCCCCCCCGAGGTGAAATTATTGACCCCCAGGATGCAACCCCTCAACAAGCTGACTAACGCCTGGGTACCTATTTACTCCTAAGTGGACAGGGGCATTAGGTGATAAGAATTGCATCCAACCGTTTCTGTTCCACCCAGAATTCGAACCCGGAATTCTAGATTGTGTCGAGAACAAACTCGACTATACTATCAGAACAACCCGTCCTCTTAAAAAGAACGTCACTTTTGGCAGTTTGCCCGTATGGCCGAATATGGACGTAATTTGAAAATGAAAAAAAAAAATGAAAATAAATTTGGGATTTTTTTTTTCAACAACAGTAAGTTAAGGGTCCTCTGATAGGTTAGGTGGGCAGGAAATTCTCATAAAGTTTCAAAACGGTATGAAAAACGTTAATGAAAAGTTTCCTCTCCTAAGCTTGCTGAGTAAGCCGGACGACTCAAACAGAAAACGGAACAGTACGTCACTTTTGTGAGTCGATTTCATTTCAAATTACGTCCAAATTTGGCCATAGTGCGCATACCAGCGAAAAGTGACGTTATTTTTAAGAGGACGGGTTGATCAGAACCCTTATTTATCAGTTACAGTATTATATTTAACCCTTAGACAACAGTTATCGTAATTTGTGGGTTCATGGGGTAATGCAGTTATAATCATATAACGATTTAAGGAATTACTGTCTGAGTTTTACTTGTATGATGCAAATAGGGATATAATAGCTTTCTGGATGTAATGGAGTTTATCTTGACCCATGAAAAAATCCTGATACCATTTCATGATTACATGTTTCTGTTCTAGGTGAATGCTGTTAAGTGTCATCATAAATATTACTTGGGGGAATGCAATTATTGTCATATTACGATTTAAAGAATTACTGTCTGGGTTTTATTTGTATGATGCAATTATGTATATATAATAACTCTGTGGATGCAATGGAGTTTACCTTGACCTATGACAAAAATTCTGCTGCCATTTCATAGTTACGTGTACTAGGAAGAGCCTGCTGTCGTGTGTGTGTGCCACATTGGTGGCTTACGCCATTCTTTCAATCTATGTTCTCGCCCATGTGGTGCCAATTAGGTCATATATTATCACCCAGAGCCCAACACCATTATACGTACTGTATATTATGTTCATGTCCTTTTCACTATGCTATATAGTTGTAATGGAGTATACCAGGTAAACCAATCATCAGTTAAAACATGCCTTATGGCAACCCAACCTCTTGTTTAGATAGTACCTTTTGTAACTATGTGCACCATAGTACAAACACTGACATACTAAGGAATTAGATATTAGAATTATGTACTATTCACTTTAAAGAGTTTGAAAAAAAGGAAGCTAAAAACAAACTTGAATAATCCTAGACCTAGTATAGCACACATATGTACTACTGTATATTAAGCCTCAGATAGCTTGTATTAGGCCTAGGAAGGTTAGGTTAGTTTAGTTTGTCTTTGCAACATAAATAAAAAATCTTTTCCGGTCTGTCCAAATTTAGTAAGTCCAATTTCTCCTTTCTAATTGCGCCGCTTTTGTTGCCTTCCCTAGATTGTAAGTGGCACTTGGTGTATTTACGCATCTTTACTGGATCTTGGTGCCCTGTCTGAGTCTGCTTGGGATTCGGTGTCTGGCCTACCTCAATGACTGGCTGGTGTGGGCTCACAGTCGGTCTGCTTGTCTGCTCGCCAGGTGTGTGGTTCTTTCCAGATCGCCGGGTTCGGTTTCCTGGTGATCTGAAGGCCGTTCCATTCGTTTCTGTCCCGGGTTCGGATCTGACTGGGTCTTGTTTAGGGCTCTTGGGCCACTCCTTGTCCTTCCCTCTAGAAGTGTTGCTGCGGCTGTGGTCCCTCCTTCGGCTGTTCATGACGGGGTCCCGGGTTGCTCGGCGGTTGCTCGAGCAGTTGTGCGGGAGTCTGAACTTCGACGTGCTGGTCTGCCTGCAGGGTCGGGTTTGACTTCGGCGTCTGTTTGGTTCCTTCGGAGACTCCCCTTCCACCTCTCTTGCAATCATTGGGTTCATTCCTCCAGTTATCTTGTGTTGGTGCTGCGTCACCAGCTTCCTCTGTGGGGTTTTCAGGGTTCCGTGCCTAGGCACCTCCCCGAGCCTTCGCTCGATGTGTTCACGTACGGCTCATCTCTCGGCTGGGGCTTTGTGACCAGTGCTCACCAGGTCGGCCGGGGATGGTGGGGTCTGTCCGTCCGTTGGGCTCACAGCACGGTTCGGGAGTTTGTGGCTGTCTGGTTTGCACTTCGTAGGGTTCGGGTCACTCGGTGCTCAACCATTCAGCTCCATTCGGACTGTTCTCTGGCGGTTCTTTCCCAGAACCACAGGGTTTCTCTTAGGTGTTTGCCTTTGGTGTTGGTCCCTTCGAGTGGCTCATTTGCTGTATTCTCGGGGTTTGGCTAACCATGAGATTCATGTCCGGGGTGTGTCCTACGTCCTGGCGGACAGCCTGTCTCGGTTCATTCCTCTGTTCGCAGATTGGCCAGTCGTCGCCGACTCGTTTCGTTGGCTCTGCAGGACGTATGGACTCCTGGCATGGACGTCTTCGAGTCGGCGAGGTCTAGGCGTCGCCCATTCTATGTGGCGCCCTTACCCGCCTGCGAGGCGTTTACGGTGGATGCCTTGCGGCAGGACTGGTCGAGGTGGGGGTACCTGTTCCTCTCCTCCCGGTCCAGCTGTTGCTTCGGGTTCTGGCTCGGTTGGAGCCCATTCCCAAGAGAGTAGTCCTCATGGTCCCTTGGTGGCCGGCCCAGCTTTATTTTCAGACGATGCTTAATAGGTGTCCGAACCCGGGGCATTTTTCCGCGGCTCCACCTCTTTCGGCAGGTTGGACCGGTCCTGTATGTGACTGGTTTGACTTTCTCCTCGGCTCTTCACGTCTGGTTTTATCACCATCTCTGTGGTGATCAGATGGCTTTGTTGATGGTGTCCCACCTGCGAGCTTCGTCTCGGCGACAGTATGATGTTCTTGGTGTTTCTGTGCACCTTTTTCTTGCTCTTCGTAGGTCGTCTTCTCTTTCACATCGGGTTGTCTTGTCCTTTCTTGAGTTTTCAGGACTACAGTTATTTGATGTTTCTTACTGTCGCCTCATTTTGTGCGGCGCTGGCGGAGCCGCTCTGGCTTGCGTTCAGGGTGGACGTCACATCTGCGCCGTTCAGTACGCTTTCTTGTGTTTTGTTTCACCTCTGGCCTGCTCATGCGTCGCCTGAGCCGTCCTGGTCCTTGATCAGGGTGCCCTCTTATCTTCTCCTCAGTTTGTGGTAGCCCCTTCGGTTCAGGTTTCTGTTCTTTGGTACTGGTAGTAGGTTCGTATGTTTGCAGCCTTTCTCCGTCCTTCTGTCGACGGTCAAGATGGCTGCTTTCTGGGGGAGTGCTTGGGTTATTGATGCTTGATTGTTCGGCCAGGGGTGCGTCCTGTGTTGTCCGGTTGCGCTTTTTTGCCGTTACCTGCGGCGTACTGTGTCTGGGGATGCGCTTTGGGTTGATCCGGTTTCCTTGTTCCCTGTTTCAGGGCTCGGGTTTCCTAGGTCGTCCACAGAATTTTTAGGTCTTCCAGCCTGCGGTCTATCCTTGCGCTCGTGCTGTTCAGACGTTTGCAGCTTTCGCTGCTGTGTTGGTGACGTCTAGGGCTCATTTCGGACCCGGGGATTTGAGGGTCGCACAGGTTCCTGGCCACCTGTTTTTTATGTGCGCGTCTGCTCCTGTGCATTCTTGTTGCCTTCGGTCGCAGGTTGCAGCCTGTTGTCTCGGCTTCGCGTTGCGGAGTTTGTGGCAGCCGCCTCCCAGGGTCAGCCCTTTCTTTTCCTTCTCTTTGGGTATGAAGCTCCAGGGAGCCGTAGGGGCTCCCCACAGAAAACCAGCGTTGAATGTAATGAAACGCTATTTTCTGGATGAGCCCCGGAGGCTCCCTGGCAACCCTTCCTCCCACCGGTCAGTATTTTTTTTGCGTTGGCTAAAGCTTAGCTTCCGAACTGATGCTAGGCAGCCGGTGCGGTGAGGTCCAGGGCTCCCCCCCTCCCCCTCTTGGGGCGGGGCGGGCTGCGCGGATTATCGATGCGGCAGTAAAGTGTGATGTTTGCTTGTGTGCGTGTTTCCTTGGGATTGTAGGGAGTTTCTACCACTCTGTTCAGTTTTTTGTTTTAGTTTTTTATCATGTGAGGTTTGTTTTATTATGCCTACCTGTCTGGGTGCCTAACCCCAGTCGATGGCAGATAAGGAAAATCCCAACCACAAGGGGGTTTTCCAGGATCATTGCTCCCTGAAACCTCTCTGAAGGGGCCAGGTTGTGGCGCTGGTCCCTGGTAGGTCTGAACTCCATAGCAAATGTCCCAGTCTAATATAACATACATTAGGCCGATAAACTCCAGGGAGCCTCCGGGGCTCACCCAGAAAATGGCGTTTCATTACATTCAATGCTGGTTTTTTGCACATAGAAAGATCTGGACAACTTTTTTATGCGTGATATTCAAACCGCTGAAAATATAACTGATATCAACACCAGCGTGTCAGATTTTGAAAGAGAAATTGACAACCTGCCCATGCACTCAGCCCTAGGTCCAGACTCATAGAATTGAATATTAATAATGAAATGCAAAGTGCCAGTAGTACAGGTACTCAGTATAGTGTGGAGAAATAGGTTGGACATGGGTGAGATACCAGATGTTCTTAAATCAGCAGATATAGCTCCTTTACATAAGGGAGGGAGCTAAGCATTGGATAAGAATTATAGACCAGTGGCACTAATGTCTCACATAATAAAAGTATTTGAGAGAGTGATCAGGAGTTAGGCCTCCAGTTTAATGGAGACCAATGACCTTCACAACCCAGGCCAACATGGATTTATAGTGGGAAGATCATGCCTCTTGCAGCTACTTGACCACTACGACAAA